AAAAAAAAAAAAAAAATGACAAAATGAAAAAGAATATTTTTAAAGAGAAAAAATCTAGACAAAAATGGTTAAAATCACTAAAGACCTGCTTTAATGGCGGCTGCAACAGCGTCTTCCGGAGTTTTTGTATACTTTTGGTCTTCATAAATTGTGGCAACAGCATCACAGTCCGAAGTTATGTAACTGTTTGCATAGCATTTAGGGGACATGGACATATGAGTCCTAGGGTATAAAGGCAATTGTTCTTATGTTTTCACCAGACACGCACACACCAAAATATAGCAAGTGTAAGTTAATAACAAAATGAAAAAAAAAAGGATATTATATGATCACCCTTTGAAATTCCATTCAGTTCGAGCTTTTTGTAAGAGCTCGCGATTGGTGCATGCTGGTATCCCATTCACAGCATTGTATGAGCACATCAAGCAGCTGGCATTACCCTGCTGGATGCAACTCTTGAAAGGTGCTTGATATGTGTCTGCCATATCCTGATCTGTGACCTAATTACACACACGAATAAGTTCTGAAATTTTAATAATTCAGCTTGATATATGAATCAGTATCGTCATAATGAGCTTGCTCATATAGGGATCAATTTAAAGAGTCGTAACAAAAAGCTTCTGTAATTCAGAAGATAATTTTTTTTGTAACAAAAGTTAGACATGGTTGAGGATAGAAGTTAGTGTTGGAAAATAGAAGCTTAAGCTAAAATAAGTTAGACAAGTTTTTTACGAATTAAATCACAAAGCGATTATTGGTTTCCAAAAAGCTAAACCATCACATTACTCAGAAGCTTCTATAATTCTGATTGGATTCTGCAGATTCAAATGCAGTGTCGTCATTTGGAAAGAAGCTACACCCACCTATTCTTAGTCATGGTAGACGCGCAATACTCGTGCTTTGGACCAGAGAACAGCTATTTACATAAAATCGACAATCATATCAGCATAGACTTAACAAGCACATGTCAGGCATCATTAAAGATTCAAAGTTTCATTATTACATCAAGTTTTAGCTCTCAATAATCCATCTTGGCATATGTCTATTGCACCAACTCCAGAAAGGAAACAAAGACATCATCAACATCATCAACATCAACATACCCAGTATATTCCCAACAAGTTGGGGTCTGGGGGGTCAGTTGTACGGAAAGGGCCTTGCCTTAAGCCCTAGCTTCTATTGGCTACTGGAAATAGGGTTACGCGCGCGGGCTGTAGACTATCGGGGAGAGGAGACTGATTCAATCCCTCTTAATGGAACTGGGGAATAAAGGAATGGGATACGCAGACCTTACCCTTGTAATTATACAAGGAGGCTGTTTCCATAGCGACCCAAGGTGCGTTGCATCGTTTGATATATTTTTTTCTAGAAACTTCACTAATAGAAGAAGCACTAGAAAGGAAACAAAGAACGAAAGGCAAAATATAAGTGATCGTCAAGTTGCTAAAATATCAAAGCTAAGCCTTTAAGACCAATTTTCATATCAAATTTCTCAAAATAAATAACAGGAGTAAACGAATGAATCATGAAACAAAATTAGCCCCCAAAAGTGAGGGAAGAAAAAGAACTTACCACAGCATTGAAGTTATATCTAGTGAACTGCCCCCATTTCTCCAAATCATACGCAGTGAAATGCTTGCAGCAAGCAGATAGCATCAACCTATCATCATCTTTTTCATGATCATCATCACTATCATCATTATCATCATCATCAGCAGCAGCAACAGCAACAGCAGCATCTCCTAACACTCTTCTCTGCAATCCATATCCATGTCTCTCCTTCCACGAACCAACCCTACGGTACTCACCCTGAAACGCCCTAACATACTCCACCGCGAAATCGGAAGCCATCATGGGATCCTCCCCCGGCGTCTCCTGCCCCCTCCCCCACCTAGGGTCTCTGAAAACATTAATGTTCGGCGCCCAGAACGTCAGCCCGGCCTGCCCCGAATTATGCATCGCCTTCGCCTCAACGGAAATCGCCGCCGCCACCGCCGACCACAGGCTCCGGTTGAAGGCGGCGGCGGCGAGGATGACCTGGGGAAATCCAGTGGCGGATCTGACGGCGCCGTTGAAGGAGACGCCTGGGCCATTGGTGGCGATTCCGTGGAGAGATTCCGACCACCATTCGTATGGCGGGATGCCGAGCCGTGGGACGGCGGAGGCGTTGTCCGAGAGCTGGCTGATTTTCTCGTCGAGTGTGAGGAGGGAGATTAGGGATTGAGCTCGGGCTTTCAGGGGGAGTGAAGTATTGCAGAAAGCGTAGGAGTCATGGTGGGGCGGGCGGCATGGTGGTTGTGGTGGGGGTTTGCTGACATGGTAGCGGCCATGGCCATGGGAGGTAGTGATTGATTGGATGAAGAGCAAACAGAAAAGGATGACTGTTGGTTGAGCTAACATTTGTGTTACTTGAGAAGTTTTTCTAATAACATTTAATTTTCAAAATATATACATAATGATGGCTCAAATATACTTCCCCACCAACATACAACATAAATTGTGAGATTTTTTTTTTTTTTTTTTTTTTTNNTTTTTCAAAACTAGTGGGTGGCACGCGATGCACGAGAAAAAAAAAAATTTATTACCATTCTATTATAAATAAATATATAAATAATATTAATCGTGATTTATCTATTGTTTTTAAAATTAAATCCGACTGGACACAATTCGACAAAATGGATCGAGAATTAGTTTAAAATCAGTCTAATTCGTTTGAATAAAATATTTGTTATCGAATCAATCAATACCAGTCAATTGGAGTGGTAGGATCGATACGATTTTTTATATAAATTCTGTTACATTTAAAATTATTTTAAATAAAATTATTTAAATAAAATAGAGATTTATAAATTATTTATCAATTAATTTAAACATTTGAATTTATAAATTGTTTAGATATTTAAGTAAGACATTTTATTTAAATTTATTATAAAAAGTACTATATATATATATATATATATATATATATATATATATATCTACTAAAATGAATATAAATTAAAATTTGAACAAACCACAAATGACTTAATAAAACAACTTGATCGTTTCGATGACGGTCCAGTTCTAAAAACCTTATATTTATTGTACATCAATAAACATTATAATAAAATATTATTTAATTCACATAAGTACTAATAAAATGATATGTAAATATTCATAAATCATTAAACATGTTTTCATAATAGTATTGTGAAGTTTGGATTACATCACATTAACATATAAATTATTTTGAATATTATCATTTATATTTAGATTCAATAATCAATTTAGTCTGGTTAAACTGATACATAGCTTAGTCACATGGGACCAACTAAGTTGTGTCAAGTTTTTTTACTATTTTAAATATCACCAAAAAAACTAATTCAATCAACCTGGACAGTACTCTAATCAATCACTCGATGATCCAAAAAAATCTTTATAAATCCAAAGCAATTTCCATATTTTCTTTAAATATGTTTAATGTTATGAAATAAAAATAGTTTATGATTCATATAGTAAATGTCTACAACAAATGATAGTATATTAAAATTATAAATTATATATATATATATATATATAAGTTAATATTTTTACTTTATGCATATTAATAAATAATAAATATAATAATTTAAAAAAAAAATTAGTTCCGCTCCATGGGTAGCTCCGTCCATGCATTTAGTTATAAATTGTTTGGGTACAAGCAACAGTTTAAGTTTGGAAAGATTTGATTGGTCAGAAAAAATATGTATTTTATATATTCATTAGCGTATTTTTTATATTCTTACACTTATATATTTTTTAACTTATTAATTTATTAGATGGATTTAAGTGCTATGATATATTAATGGTTTTTTTTTTCGAAACGACATGTTATTTAACTTAAACACATAATTACAACCGGCTAACTAGCAAAAATAAGAGGACTACCCCAAAGCACCCTGCAAGATACAACCACACACTACAATTCCAAAAGAAAAACAAAAAGCTTCTACGAAGAGAAAATACACTCCCAGCTGGAGAATAACATGCTTTCAAAAGGAGAATAACACACTCTCAAAGAGGAGAAAATAAAACACAACCCAAAAAAAACCCCACACTAAAACATACGAAAACACAAACTACAAAAACCACAAGAACAAAAGAAAAACAACTAGAATACTAGACTAAAGCCTCCTCACTAGCCTGACAGTCTCGGCAAAACATCACTGCTTCAAACCACTGACGGTGCCCACCCAAAAGGTAGAAAGTATGGCCCAAACTAGGGGTGGGCGCGGTCCGAGATTTGACCTATCTCGGTACATGTTCCGGTCTTTTGAACCGGTCCGGGACGAGACACCGTCCCCAACGGATCGTATCAATCGAGACCGGGACAAAACTGAAAAAATGAAAATGTTCAATCTTCAAAATAGATTCCTTGTTTCACTTAAAAAAAAAAATAATAATACTGATTCCAAAACAACCTAAAAGGAGTGGTGAAACTGGATTGGTTGGATCATGGATGCTTTTCCTTGATTTCTACTTTCCTAAGCCTGCTCACTAACTTCGCTTGCTAGCTAGAAAAAGATGCGAAGAGTCTACTCTCATTTAAGAGAAATACAACTCCTGGGGCAAAGTCATCTTAATAGTAAAAGAGCCTGGGAAAATTGTAAAGGCTTTCATATGCGTAGCTGATTCCAACCAAAAAAATGAGTGTATTGGGCTTTCATTTATAAAATACAAAGTCTTGACAGACTTTGAAACAGAAACACCAACTGCATAACTATTTTTGTACAAAAAAAATATAACACTAATATAAATATAAATAATATATAATATATATACATATATAATATTTTTGTACAAACAAAAATAAAAATGGACAAACGGAAAGGTTCAGGAAAAAAATATTAAAAACCGATACCGACATTGTTTCAATCGGTTCGGTACCAGGAACGGTACCAAAATTTTAGAAACCGGTTGGAACCCTATTTTTCAGAACGGTACCATTTCGGTCCGGTTTGGGATCGGGAAATCCAGTTTTTTTGCCCACCCCTAGCCCAAACACAGATCCAGAAACTCCCTTCAAACGCTGGCTAACCAGACATCGGTCGAAGGCCAACTAAACACGCTGAAATAACACCTGAAGGCCCTCGGTCACTCCTTCCCAACACAATCCGGCGACCTCGGCCCTCAATCAACACGGACAAGAGCCGCCACCACCAGAGGTCCACACCATAAAAACACCAAGGGAGGGTGAGACAGAGAAGAAGAAGACGCCGAACCTTACCCCAATCATCTACCGACGAGCAATCTGAGCCGGCCACCTCGGGGCTGCCGAAAAATCGTCGAACCTCCCATCACCGCCAGGCCGCCCGAGCCCAAGGGGAAATGCCTTCACAAGGGGAGCTCAGACCTCTATGAACCACCCTCAATAGCCCAGGAGCCACAAGGAGCCGTGGGGGGTAGAGCCCCGCGAGAGGGCTCACTCAGAGGAGGAAAAGAAATGAGAGGGTTGGGTTGATTTGGGGGGAAAAAAATAGAGAGAAAAAATTTGATATGGTAAAGTTTGAGCTGATATATTTAAGGTTTATTTTCAAGATACTGGAGTATTTTAATGGGCGGCGTGGCACAAAATAAGATTTTAGTAGACCAATATGGGGGTGTCCAATACCAGTCCAGTTTAGGTCCATATGTGCTATTCGTGGTGTTAAAGACCTAATTAAAATAATTAAGCCAACATTTTAATTTAATGAGGCATTCACACAAATGGGATGGCAACCACTTTTATTAGAGTCGTAGAGGATTATATTTGAAGAATTATGCAGCCAGTCACAAATAAATAAATAAAATGAAAAAGAAAAAAAAAACAGAGGGAGCATTATATTTTCAACCGCAGGAGACACCTTAGGAGAAAAGAAAAAATACGCGAAGAGAGGAAGGACTTGAAGACGAGGAACCGTTTAATCGCGGAGGGAGACCGCACCCGCACACGAGGGGGATAATTATATTTTTCTCTTTTTTATTTAATTTATTATGTTAGACTAGTTTTTACTTCTACTTATGAGGATGTCGAACCCTGCGTACTTGGCTTTGCTTAATTGATTACGTTGCTTGATTATATTGCTATTTAAATGGGATTGCTTGTATTATTTTACTTTGATCAGCGGTGATGTGCTTGATCTTATTCAGATTGATAACCTACATAAAGTTTTTCATGTCTAATGCTATAATTGAATTTGGAGTTTGTAATTATTGTTGAGTTTGATTCATAGTAGCAAACGAAAGCCGAAAACTGTTTAGAATAACACGACCTAATTGAGTAGACCGAGAGTGTGAATCTAGTACTTAGACTAGCCTTTTTTCCTAAATTCTAAAGGTGCTGCTACATTAAATCTAGAGTGTTCTACATTAATTGTCCCGGAATTCGGTTTAACCGAAGAGCGTGTTTCAGCTAAATATACTGGATAGGAAAATTTGGGTAGCATTACCATAGGCTAGTAATTTCAGAATATAGTGAAGTTTGACGTAAAAATAGTTAGATTAGTCGAGCGAGAGCTTAGACGGAACTGTGAACTAGATTTTTCTCTATATATTCATGTTGATTTTATTTATTTTATTTTTATTTTTATCTCATTCTTAGTTAGATTAGATTTTATGATCCAATCCCCCCTCTTTTATCGCTTTTTATAATTTCAATTAATACAAAAAAAAATTACAAATTGATTCACACTCCGCGTTGGATTGACCAGTACTCGCCGCTACTACTTGTTAGTGACGATTAGTCGAGAAAAATTATAAATTTTAATTTTTAACGTCGCAACTATCTAATCAAAATAAGCTATTCAAATAAACCTAACAAGTTGACAGTCCCAAATAAGCTCTACAATTTTATTGCACTAGCAGCATAATTTATAGAAATATAGATTGGTCTAAGCAACAACGCGCACTTTCTGTCTGTTTCATCTATGTTCACACTACCTTAGACATGCATGACCCTAGTTTACTACTAGTGAGACAAGAACATTAATAATTACATATTAAAGTCTCGTATATAACAAATAAACTATGAAAGGAGCATGCCTAAATAAATCAAACATCCATAATTAATAACAAATAAGAAATAGATAGCATTAATCAATATATCAACAAATTAAATATGACGTCTCAATTAACCGTCCTAAATAAATCAAACATCCATAATAATGTAACAACAAATTTCGTGTATTGAATTTAAAAAACACGAAAAATATTATTCAAATGAATTTCTCGAATCAAAATATTATTGCAGGTTACAATCTCTATTATTCCTCTGATTCTTCTCACAAACAATATTTTATGTCTTGGAGCGAAATCTTCGGCTTGATCTTCTCCTTGACTTGATTTGACTTGAATTAACGTAATGCGAGGGCTTAAAAGTTTTTTCCCGGATCAAACGTCAAAAT